CCTCATTCGACAAAAGGTGTCCGAATGCATGCCAGAGGTTATACACCATGTATTGTTATATAAATTGTGACAGTGCTGCACTTTCTCACAATATCAGGTTGAGGGGCTCCAGGATGTCTGTTCCCAGTGAAGAAAACTGTTTTTGCATTATTGTCCAGGATTGGTAAGGTGTAGATTGGGTCTCGGAGCCTGCAGTCTTGGTAGCAGGGGTGGACTGACCATTTGGAAACTCGGACACTGCCCGAGGGCCCGGGGTCAGTAGGGGGCCCCATGAGATGCCCCTGGTACCTTTTTCATAGGCTTTTTTGAGTTTGGGCCAGGGCCCCATGATCCCCTATTGCCCGGGGGCCCCATGAGTTGTCAGCCTGCCCCTGCTTGGTAGAGACTTGAGAGGGATGAAGCCTGCACTCATGAGTTCATGCTTTGCTGTCAACCAGTACACCAATTGTGCAGCTGTGTCCAAGCCTCATGATTGGAAGTAGGTTAGAGTTGAGGCCTCCATCCCGAAAAGGGTGAGCCAGTGAAGCTGGGAGCAGCTACAGTGTGCACAGTGGTTAAGAGGTCTGTGGAGAACAGGCGAGGTCCTAAGCCTGAAGGCCAGTGCAGCAAGCCTGCAAGCCAGGAGGCTGAATGATCTGTTTTTGGAAGAGGAGACCTGAATATCCCCTGTGCGGGAAACCCTTTGTTGTGTTATATGACGTTGTCCTTACTAAAGGGGAAAAACGGTCCTTTGGCAAGTGGGCCAAGATAATGCAAATCCAGTGCACACACGCAAGGGTTGTATCATCGCCCAATAGCTGACGAAGGAAGGTGCTGACTGCAAAAGAAGAAGTGAAGGAGATGGCAATGGGGGAGAACATGGTGCTACTATCGCTCAAAGACGGAAAACCCAGAAATAAGTTTACTATACTGAGAAGGTATGGCATTCAAACATGGACAGGAAGGAAAGTGCTCTTCCCTTAAAGAGGAACATCAACCCCCACCCTGTGTTTCTTTTAAGGCTGGGTTACCTTCAAAAAATATACTCACATGTCTGGCAAATCCAGCGTTAACCCTCCGCTCCGTGCTAAACACAGGGTCCTGCACCACCATCATTGATTCTGGTGTCATCAGGAGCCAGCTGTCTCTTCTTGGTTAAGGAAGCTGCCCACCCCTCCATTGATGGTCCATCCTCCTCTAGCCAATGTTTTAAACTTGATGACTTCTGTGACATGTGATGTGCATATCCCAGCAGGCTTTAGGAGCAGAAAAGGCATCTTTCTCATATGGACAAGAATGAAGGCAGGGGATGGGCTAGAGCGGGGGTCTCCAGACTTTCTAAACAAAGGACCAGTTTACTGTCCTTCAGACTTTAGGGGTCCCGGACTGTGGCCGCTGGGAGTAGAAAATGTACAGACGTCTGTGGGAAAGTACAGTGTCCATATTTGGTGTCATTTAGAATTGTGCCTCAGCATTAGTGTCATTGTGCCCCATTGTTGGTGTCATTGGGAGAAACTGTGCCCCATTGTTGGTGTCTTTGTGCCCCAACGTTGGTGTCATCAGGAGGAAATGTGCCCCAACGCTGGTGTCATCAGGAGGAAATGTGCCCTAATGCTGGTGTCATCAGGAGGAACTGTGCCCCAATGCTGATGTCACCAGGAGGAAATGTGCCCCAACGCTGGTGTCATCAGGAGTAAATGTGCCCTAATGCTGGTGTCATTGGGAGGAAATGTGCCCTAATGCTGGTGTCATCGGGAGGAAATGTGCCCTAATGCTGGTGTCATCAGGAGGAAATGTGCCCTAATGCTGGTGTCATTGGGAGGAAATGTGCCCTAATGCTGGTGTCATCGGGAGGAAATGTGCCCTAATGCTGGTGTCATTGGGAGGAAATGTGCCCCATCATTGGAAGGAATTGTGCCCATTCTTCGGTGTCTGTGGGGGTAATTATGCCCCCATTGTTGGTATCAGTGAGTTAAATAGTGCCCCCAGGGCTGGATAAAAGCAAGCAAAGGGCTGCATTTGGCCACCAGGCCGTACTTTGGACACCACAAGGTTAGATCTGTAGGAGGAGTTCTGTCCTCCTCCATGCTCCCCCATCTCAGCAGTCGGCAGCAGAGATGAGGCTCTATGTGGCTGTATGGAGAAGTGCAGGATCTGTAGGAGGAGTTCTGTCCCCCTCTGTGCCCCCCCATCTCAAGAATTGGCAGCAGAGATGAGCCTCTATGTGGCTGCATGGAGAAGTAAAGGATTTGTAGGAGGAATTCTGTCCTCCTCCGTGCTCCCCCATTTCCGCAGTCGGCAGCAGAGATAGGCCTCTATGCGGCTGTATGGAGAAGCGCAGGTTCTGCATGAGGAGTTCTGTCCTCCTCTGTGCTTCCCCCCATCTCAGGAGTCGGCAGCAGAGATGAGCCTCTATGCGACTGTATGGAGAAGTTTAGGATCTGTAGGAGGAGTTCTGTCCCCCTCTGTGCCCCCCCCATCTCGGGGGTCGGCAGCAGAGATGAGCCTCTATGCGGCTGTATGGAGAAGTAAAGGGATTTGTAGGAGGAATTCTGTCCTCCTCCGTGCTCCCCCATTTCCGCAGTCGGCAGCAGAGATAGGCCTCTATGCGGCTGTATGGAGAAGCGCAGGTTCTGCATGAGGAGTTCTGTCCCCCTCTGTGCTTCCCCCCATCTCAGGAGTCGGCAGCAGAGATGAGCCTCTATGCGACTGTATGGAGAAGTTTAGGATCTGTAGGAGGAGTTCTGTCCCCCTCTGTGCCCCCCCCATCTCGGGGGTCGGCAGCAGAGATGAGCCTCTATGCGGCTGTATGGAGAAGTGCAGGTTCTGTAGAAGGAGTTCTGTCCCTCCTCTGTGCCCCCCCATTTCAGGAGTCGAAAGCAGAGATGAGCCTGTATGTGGCTGTATGGAGAAGTGCAGGATCTGTAGGAGAAGTTCTGTCCCCCTCTGTGCACACCTCCACCCCCACGTCTCTGGAGTCAGCAGCAGAGATGAGCCCCTATGTGGCTGTATGTAGAAATGCAGGATCTGTATGAGGAGTTCTGTCCTCCTCTGTGTTGCTGAGATAAAGTGGGAGCAGAGATGGGGGGGGTTGCTGCAGGAGAAGCGTGATGGAAAAATTGCCTGGTGGGCCTGATTCGGCCATCAGGACCTGCGTTTGGCTTATGTGCCCTAGACTGTTATTGTAGCTGGTGTGAAAAGACTGGTGCTTGCGATGGGTGGGCGGCCTCTGTACTTTCAGGGAAGAACCCGTTATTGACTGCGGCCCCTACGGGGGTAGCGCTACACTTGTATCATTGTGGAATGCCTCATCTCATGTATGTCTTCTCCATGTGCTGCGTGAATTTCCCCGGCTGGTGGCAGGTTTGCTCAGATCCAATTAGCTCAGTTGATGCTTTCGTACCGTTTAGCGACGGGTAACTATGGGGAGAATGGCGCGCTTTTGCCAAGCTGTAATGTGAGCCAATTGGATGTGCGTCTTCTAGAAGCTCGGCGCTTGCATAGCTCAATATATGCATTAAATTATTTCCTGGGCAGCATTCCATCTCACGTTGCGCCTGTAACATCGGACATGTCCTTTCAGCTATCGGAATATTCAAAAATTATGGAATAAGCAAAAAATGTAATGGATCGCCGCCATCATTACCCGTGACTGGATGGCAGGCACCTTGCTGACGTCCTTCATGTGTTTCACTCTGAACATTAACTGATTCATTGCCTGCTGTGTCTGGATACGAGAGGTTACGTGGTCGGCCGCGGGGTAACTTGCCTGAACCCAGCTAAGTTCTGCTTTGATATGTAAAGCAATCTTAAAGGAGAACTCCAGGCAAACAGCTAATTCCACAAAATGAATATGTACTGTGAGGCCTCAATGTGCCACGGCCCTATGACACTCCAGCGATTATAAAAAAGTTCGATGTGGTGGGACTTTTTAAGACACAAGAAATTATATACAGTTTATTTGTACAAAAAAAAATTCTAAAACCGAAATATCAGTTACATGTTGAATAAAAGCATATCTGGGTCACTCATGTTCCCCAAATTACATTGGATTCATTTCAATTAGTTACATAGTTAGTCTGGCTGAAAAAAGACAAAAGTCCATCCAGTTCAACCATTAAAAAAAAGTAGTTATAATCCTCCACCCACAGTGGATCCAGAGGAAGGCAAAAATACCCAGCAAAGCACGATCCAATCTGCTCCTGCAGGGGAAACAATTCCTTCCTGATCCCCCGAGAGGCAATCGGATATTCCCTGGATCAATAATCGGATATTCCCTGGATCAATATTCAGATATTCCCGGGATCAATATTCGGATATTTCCTGGATCACCTTTCCCTATAAATGTTATATCCAGTTATATATTCTGTGTATCCAAGAAAGAATCCAGGACTTTCCTACAGCAATCCACTGAGCTGGCCACACCCACCTCTGGAGGGAGTCTATTCCACATTCTCACAGGAAGGCAAAAAACCCAACACAGCACGATCCAATTTGCTCCTGCAGGGGAAAGCATTCCTTCCTGATCCCCTGAGAGGTGATTGGATATTCCCGGGATCAACTTTCCCTATAAATGTTATATCCAGTTCAGGGGCGGACTGAGCATTCCAGCACTCAGGCACTGCCCGAGGGCCCGGGGTCAGTAGGGGGCCCCATGAAATGCCCCTCTTGCTTTTTTATAGGCTTTTTTGTATGTGCTTTGAGTGTGGGCAAAGACACAGGGGCCCCATGATCCCCTATTGCCCGGGGGCCCCATGAGTTGTCAGTCCGCCCCTGATCCAGTTATATTCTGTGCAATCCACTGAGCTGGCCACAACCAACTCTGGAGGGAGTCTATTCCACATTCTCACAGCTCTTACTGTGAATTAAACATTACATAGGTAAACGAGCATATTCCGATATTATTTTCTTAAAGCTCAATGCATTTCCTGGAATATGTATCTAGGATGAGTAACCACTGATTTTTTTAGCTATGATTAAGGAGCATTCTTCCCACTGACCCCCCCCCCCCCCCTCCCAATGTAAGGGACATTCCTCCCACTGACCACCAATGTAAGGGACATTCTTCCCACTGACCCCCAATGTAAGGGACATTCTTCCCACTGACCCCCAATGTAAGGGACATTCTTCCCACTGATCACCAATGTAAGGGACCTCCAAGCACTGTCCTTTGGTTCCATCCCCCCTACTCACCTCCAAGCTCCATCCCTTGGTTCCACCCCTTACCCACCTCCAAGCACTGTCCTTTGTATTCACCCCCTACTCACCTCCAAACACCGTCCTTTGGTTCCACCCTCTACCTACCTCCAAGCTCCATCCCTTGGTTCCACCCCTTACCCACCTCCAAGAACCATCCTTTGGTTCCCACTGACCCCCAATGTAAGGAACATTCTTCTCACTGACCCCCCAATGTAAGGGACATTCTTTCCACTGATCCCCAATGTAAGGGACATTCTTCCCACTGACCCCCAATGTAAGGGACGTTCTTCCCACTGATCACCAATGTAAGGGACATTCTTCTCACTGACCACCAATGTAAGGGACATTCTTCCCACTGACCCCCAATGTAAGGGACATTCTTCCCACTGACCCCCAATGTAAGGGACATTCTTCCCACTGACCCCCAATGTAAGGGACATTCTTCCCACTGACCCCCAATGTAAGGGACATTCTTCCCACTGACCCCCAATGTAAGGGACATTCTTCCCACTGATCACCAATGTAAGGGACCTCCAAGCACTGTCCTTTGGTTCCATCCCCCCTACTCACCTCCAAGCTCCATCCCTTGGTTCCACCCCTTACCCACCTCCAAGCACTGTCCTTTGTATTCACCCCCTACTCACCTCCAAACACCGTCCTTTGGTTCCACCCTCTACCTACCTCCAAGCTCCATCCCTTGGTTCCACCCCTTACCCACCTCCAAGAACCATCCTTTGGTTCCCACTGACCCCCAATGTAAGGAACATTCTTCTCACTGACCCCCAATGTAAGGGACATTCTTCCCACTGACCCCCAATGTAAGGGACATTCTTCCCACTGACCCTCAATGTAAGGGACATTCTTCCCACTGACCCCAAATGTAAGGGACATTCTTCCCATTGACCACCAATGTAAGGGACATTCTTCTCACTGACCCCCAATGTAAGGGACATTCTTCCCACTGACCCCCAATGTAAGGGACATTCTTCCCACTGACCACCAATGTAAGGGACATTCTTCCCACTGACCCCCAATGTAAGGGACATTCTTCAAACTGACCCCCAATGTAAGGGACATTCTTCCCATTGACCACCAATGTAAGGGACATTCTTCTCACTGACCCCCAATGTAAGGGACATTCTTCCCACTGACCCCCAATGTAAGGGACATTCTTCCACTGACCCCCAATGTAAGGGACATTCTTCCCACTGACCCCCAATGTAAGGGACATTCTTCCCACTGACCCCCAATGTAAGGGACATTCTTCCCACTGACCCCCAATGTAAGGGACATTCTTCCCACTGACCACCAATGTAAGGGACATTCTTCCCACTGACCACCAATGTAAGGAACATTCTTCCCACTGACCACCAATGTAAGGGACATTCTTCTCACTGACCACCAATGTAAGGGACATTCTTCCCACTGATCACCAATGTAAGGGACATTCTTCCCACTGACCCCCAATGTAAGGGACATTCTTCCCACTGACCACCAATGTAAGGAACATTCTTCCCACTGACCCCCAATGTAAGGGACATTCTTCCCACTGACCACCAATGTAAGGGACATTCTTCCCACTGATCCCCAATGTAAGGGACATTCTTCCCACTGACCCCCAATGTAAGGGACATTCTTCCCACTGACCCCCCAATGTAAGGGACATTCTTCCCACTGACCCCCCAATGTAAGGGACATTTTTCCCACTGACCCCCAATGTAAGGGACATTCTTCCCACTGACCCCAATGTAAGGGACATTCTTCCCACTGACCACTAATGTAAGGGACATTCTTCCCACTGACCCCCAATGTAAGGGACATTCTTCCCACTGACCCCAATGTAAGGGACATTCTTCCCACTGACCCCCAATGTAAGGGACATTCTTCCCACTGATCACCAATGTAAGGGACATTCTTCCCACTGACCACCAATGTAAGGGACATTCTTCCCACTGACCCCCAATGTAAGGGACATTCTTCCCACTGACCCCCAATGTAAGGGACATTCTTCCCACTGACCCCCAACATAAGGAGTATTATTTTCTTGAGAAATCACTTTGAAAATCAACCCCCCGTAGCATTTTTAGCCGCCACCATCTTGAGTAAGGGCAGATTCTTCATGTAGCATTAACTTCCTGGAATCCATCTGCTCTTAGCTTGGGCATTCAGGCTGGAGGGTGTGTTTAGCTGAGAAAGCCCCTCCTTCTACCACGAAGACACCTGTAAAAAAAAAAGTCAAACAAGTAAATATAATCTCCCTCCTTATCTATTCACTGATGATAGCAGCATTAAGATTCGAAGCTGACAAAGGCCTGGCAGCCAAAACGCATTAGCCAATAAAAGTTACCCTCCTTTGGATGATACTGAACTTCCCGGCTATCCTGTAATGTACGTTACGTTTCAATAGGCCCTTGTCCTAGGTCGGCAAATAGACAATCTTCCCAAAAGTATATATGTGATATTTCCTTTTCTCGGAATCCCAGATTTAGGTTTTGTGCCCCATTTTGGATCCCGGGCTCACAGGCTCCTTACCTCTGGTATAAGCTACATGGTCATCAAGGTCATGGTCAGCAAGGTCATGGTCATCAAGGTCATGGTCATCAAGGTCATGGTCCGGTATCTTCCAGGTGATTCATCTATAAAGGAGTCGGGTCTTGTGTCTCACATGGATGGTAGATCCCGTGATTGAGTCAATCCCAATCAAGAAAAGAAGATACAGAAGAGTTTTTCTCTTGTTCTGGTCAATGGAAGGCGAAGGAAGCCGGGATGATTTATGACTCTGCAATTCCTCATCGACAACTGGTCTGAGAAACACAGGATTGACAGTATGAATGAAGGAGGAGAGGGAGAATGGACAACAGGAGGAGGTAGCCATTCAAGAACGTTCTGCCTGGGCGCTTGGCTCATCCAGTTTCTGAGCTTTTCAATGTAAAAGGGAAATATTGATGGCGAGATAAGAAGAGCAATGCAGATTGGGAGTTCAGGTAGCCTGCTACGTGTTGAATGGGTTCCAGATTGGAGCTGATTGGTTGGCTGTCATGCTGACCTTATACAGTACAGGGGGTTTGTGACATTTTAGAAGGACAGCAGATCGCCCAGCATGTCCCCTCATTCTCTGCCAAACCATCATCATCACCAGGCCTTTTAATGCGTATGACCGCCTACACCACGAGGCCAGAAAAGGTTACAAGAGGTGTGTGGGATGCACCCCGTGAAATTATATATGTGGTATTTGTCAATCTGTATGCATAAAACCTTCCAATCCCCCCCTCCCCCATCATTGGTGTCAGTGGGAGGAATAGTGCTCCATTATTGGTGTCAGTGGGAGGAATAATGCCCCATCATTGGTGTCAGTGGGAGGAATAGTGCCCCATCATTGGTGTCATTGGGAGGAATAGCGCCCCATCATTGGTGTCAGTGAGAGGAATAGTGCCCCATCATTGGTGTCAGTGAGAGGAATAGTGCCCCATCATTGGTGTCAGTGGGAGGAATAGTGTCCCATCATTGGTGTCAGTGGGAGGAATAGTGTCCCATCATTGGTGTCAGTGGGAGGAATAGTGCCCCATCATTGGTGTCAGTGGGAGGAATAGTGCCCCATCATTTGTGTCAGTGGGAGGAATAGTGTGACGGGAGTCATTTTGGGTGGGGGGGGGCAATGGAACCCAGCTCACTTTGGAGGGCTGGGGGGACCCCTGTCTCAGCTCCCCATATCCCTCTTATGTGTAAGTCACTCTGTGCCTGTCAGGTGTGCAGGGTGATCTGTCCTAATATTGTGTAGACATTTATAGGTGGGGTGGGGGGGTTGTGGATTGTTTAATGCCATGTGGTTGCATCCCATTGTTCTATTGTGTGTCTTGCTTGGGAGCAAACTATTATGGGATGTATGTGTTTGTATATTGGCTTGGTGTGGTGGGGGGGTGTTTATGGCAGCCCTCCCCCCTGATGGGATTGTCTGCTGGTGTGTCTCTTGTTACTGGGTGTGGATTGCCCTGCCCTGTGTCATTATGCAGGGAGGGGGGATTGTTCCCTTGAATGTATATATCTTGTATCTGTGTTAAAATAGTCTATTTCCTGATTTTCCTTCAAGTCTGGTGCCGTCTAGTCTTGTATGGTCAGCGGTGGTGTCCGTGGTCAATGTTCGGACAGGGAAGTGGTAGTCTAACGGAAATACCCAAGTGCAGTCGGGGTCCGTTCCATTACAAATAGTGCCCCATAATTGACGTCAGTGGGAGGAATAGTGCCCCATCATTGGTGTCAGCAGGAGGAATAGTGCCCCATAATTGGTGTTAGTGGGAGAAATAGTGCCCCATCATTGGTGTCAGTGGAAGGAATAGTGCCCCATCATTAGTGTCAGCAGGAGGAATAGTGCCCCATAATTGGTGTCGGTGGAGGAATAGTGCCCCATCATTGGTGTCAGTGGGAGGAATAGTGCCCCATCATTGGTGTCAGTGGGAGGAATAGTGCCCCATCATTGGTGTTAGTGGGAGAAATAGTGCCCCATCATTGGTGTCAGTGGAAGGAATAGTGCCCCATCATTAGTGTCAGCAGGAGGAATAGTGCCCCATAATTGGTGTCGGTGGGAGGAATAGTGCCCCATCATTGGTGTCAGTGGGAGGAATAGTGCTCCATCATTAGTGTCAGCAGGAGGAATAGTGCCCCATCATTGGTGTCAGTGGGAGGAATAGTGTCCCATCATTGGTGTCAGTGGGAGGAATAGTGCCCCATCATTGGTGTCGGTGGGAGGAATAGTGCCCCATAATTGGTGTCGGTGGGAGGAATAGTGCCCCATCATTGGTGTCAGTGGGAGGAATAGTGCCCCATCATTGGTGTTAGTGGGAGAAATAGTGCCCCATCATTGGTGTCAGTGGAAGGAATAGTGCCCCATCATTAGTGTCAGCAGGAGGAATAGTGCCCCATAATTGGTGTCGGTGGGAGGAATAGTGCCCCATCATTGGTGTCAGTGGGAGGAATAGTGCTCCATCATTAGTGTCAGCAGGAGGAATAGTGTCACATCATTGGTGTCAGTGGGAGGAATAGTGTCCCATCATTGGTGTCAGTGGGAGGAATAGTGCCCCATCATTGGTGTCGGTGGGAGGAATAGTGCCCCATAATTGGTGTCGGTGGGAGGAATAGTGCCCCATAATTGGTGTCAGCAGGAGGAATAGTGCCCCAAGAGCTGGACACCAGCAAGTGAAGGACCACAGTTTGGAGACCAACGTTCTAACCCAACAGGCAGTCCCCAAGCAGAAAAGCACTGTAGAGAAATGAAATCATTGAAACAACAATCTATGTGAGTGGGACTCCTTACTATTGTTCTCTGCAGGACACGCTGTGGTCAGTTTATTAGCTGCACTCACAATGTACTGAATTGTGTAGATGTTTGTTGGGTGGAGAAGAGATCTTCTGAAGGTCCTCATACTGTCCTAATTATGCAGCAAAGAAGCCTTTCAGTTCAGGTTTTCACCACAAAATCCAGAAGAAGGAAAATCTACAGCTGTTTGTTTCGGTACATAAAAGCACTTTGTTATGAGCACAAAGCCGCCATACAAGTAATTCCAGGAAGGGAGCTGAGGAGTCATTTAGAATTGATTATACTATTTTACAACAGGCTTGCAAAGCAATTTTCCTTTGCACTTCATGTCCTGCTGTGTTCCACAGAACCTCGCAAAGTAGACTTTCATTTTGGAGGAGCCATCATTTTGTCGAATTCCTTTCTTTTAAAGGGCAGCAAAACCTAAAAATACCATTTGGATTTCTGTGATGTGAACGGCGGGCTCTGGTGACATTCACAAACAGCTTTGCAGAGTCCTTCTACCATGAATGGAGAAGGACGGAAAATGCTGCTTCCTTCTGTCACCTTCTGAGTGCAGGTTAATGGCCGCAGCGGTCCACCTTCAGAGGCTCAGATTGCTTCCTGCAATGTACACCACGGCAATGTACGCCAATTCCCAGTATGGTTGTTAGTGACACCATGTATGGTATTGTGCGAGGTTTAGAATTATTTCCGGTTTCCACTTTTGATAAAGGTGACCATATGCTGGCAAAGCGTAGTCGTAATAACCGGAGCATGTATGTGTGTGCTTCTTATGCCGTTATATTTGCTTTTGTTTCTACATCTACATGCAGATTACGCTGTCCGGAAAAATAACCTCCGTCCCCAAATGCATTCACTGTCCAAAGCTTGCCGCCTCGACCTCCGCACATCTCCAAGATAACCAATGACACCACAAAGCTCCTAGTCTACTCCCGCCTTGACTACTGCAACTTCCTTCTCATTGGCCTAACCTTACATGGACTACCCCCCTCCAGTCCATCATGAAGGCTGCTCCTCCTCTCTGCCAATCCCTCCATTAGGCTTCATTCAGTGTACTCCACTCTTCTCTGCCAATCCCTCAATTGGCCTCCATTCAGTGTACTCCACCTCTCTCTGCCAATCCCTCCACTGTCCTCCAGTCAGTGCCCTCCACTCCTCTCTACCA